AAATTTGAATATTTTTTATGTTAATTTATTATTTTTTATTTATGGGACAAGAGAGTTCACCAGGTGTCACTGACTTCTATTCTGGGTTATGTCTATTGGCGACTCTAACCAACAGCAATCTTCATTTCTATTGCTCGAACCTGGAAGGCGGGCTGCAACAACCAAAACCAAAGCCAATTCGTACTTCTACGCCATGCCATGGTCTGACCATCACGGTGCTCAGTTCAGCCTTGCTCAACACTTGAAAAGAGAGCACGAAAAGGTAGACGGTGGGCAGGCATTCGCAAAACACGACCAAGCCATTGGAGGTGGTGTAGAACGAATACTTCTTTTAGAGAACAACCATCGACACCAAACACAGGACTACAAAGCTCGTGATTGCTCACCCAATGTTCCTACCAAACATGAGCAATGCTTTGGAGACATCTTGGGTCAAATACAGAAAGTCTATAAGCATTCTCAACGCGGAGCGGGCCAGATATCAAAACCGTAAAGCAGAGCATGACGAACAGAGGCAATGTACAACTTTCCCTTGAGAGGCAATCGAATGTCTTAGCGACGGCACCTGCCATAGGTTGGCAAAACTGTTCTAGCTTCGTTATTCGTGATGTGAGATCCTCCCCAATACCAACTCTAGCTGCGATCAAGCACCTCATTATGACAAGTAGCCAACATTATTCGCCAAAACCCACTTTTATCGGTGCTTTTCAATAAGAAATGCATTCAACGATAATTAGTCTATGCTTCGAGGACGAGCAATTGCAGAATGCATTTCTGGTGAAACCATGCTAGGAAAAAGAAAACGATGGCAAAACAGTCTAGTACAACACATGGTTTTGAGTATTTCTTGAAGATTCTTAGAGCCAGACTGGAGAAAACCGTGATGAAGCGATATCAGATATCACACAGTAAAGCTCAGTTCAGATACGCAGATTGCAAAAATCACCATCTTCGGGGGCATCATGATAACATTCAGGCGGTCATCAATCGTACCAGCAGTCGTACCAAAATTAGCGAACTGAAGATTAACTCACAAAAACTAAGTCTTACTGACAGCGTCACTCTCTTCGGTGTAACCCGTTCAGATCGATGTCAAACAAACAGAAAGAGTAAAACCTTCCGAATGCCTCGGTTTGCGATACAACCCAGAGGCCATACCCTAAATGAAATCAGGTAACGAAATGATAGTGCAAGCAACCAAAGTACTCTACACGTGCTCCCCTGAACACCTTTGCTTAGCCGTTTATCTGTCAGTAATCATTTACTGAAACAAGACATTATTAAAAAGTTTCAGCATGATTAGGGATGGGTGTCTCGGCTTGTGACTGGTCACCGTACCCTTGCACTCCGCTTTCAGGCAGTAGTATTTTCCATTAATGTTAGAGCACAAGCCAACATCAATGGTTACAACTGGGCCGGTGAACATCTGGCAGTTCATTTCGGGAGTTTCGTTAAAAATTTCCTTTATGAGGCAATTATGAATAGGGGTAGAAATCACATACAACCACAACCTCTTGGTTGTGGTGGTGTTGACCGGCTAAAATGAGTGTCTGACTGCATTGGGTGCACTGGTCGTTAGAGCCCGTCGAACAGACATGATCCAACTAGTCAGACACTGGCCTCCAAAGTATTTTGATTCACACAGTCCCGTTGCCTTGGGGGTCAAGCTTTGACATGCCAAAGGCTCATATTGCAAATTCCTTAAGGGAATTCATCTGTTTGGGTCAGTTTACCAGGATAAAGCATACTACCCACAAGCAAACCTCAAAGTGAGTTCTTTGTTATGAAGATTGTTGTTCCGCGATTTGTTTGACATAGTACAGACTCAGATAAACGTGCAATATACTAATACAAAATTGCACAGTGTGTTTGTCACACAGTTTAGAGCTATACATATGGTAGAAGGTTTTTCAGTTTGAAATAAAACCAGTAGAGAACAAGACAATACACGAAGCGTCTGTGACACAACAATAAGACAATGGCTGACTCACTTTTCCGTGATCTCCTTGGAATAGATCCAGAAAAGAGGCTTGTGTACCGACTGCACCCTTAGCACCTCGGAATCTGATTGTGTGATGTCGAAGGCGTTCCAGATTGTCTAGATCCATCAGTAGCTCTTGAATCCACATACAAATACGACGACCCAGTGTGGTAGGCTGTGCAGGTTGCAAGTGTGTGCGACCAAGACAAACGAGATCTTTGTGGAAAAAAGCTTGTTTTGCCAACCGATCGATGCACCTTCCTAGTTTCAATGTAAGAATGCCTAGTGCATCTCGTAATACAATCAGGTCTGCGTTGTCACCGACGTAGCAGGATGTTGCACCTGACGGTTCAAACAGAGAGATGAACGTTTTGTTTTAGTCTTTCTATCTAGTGTATGGTAGCATTATTTTACTTCTTAACTCATCCAAATGGGCATTCAAAAGGCAGCGACAGCAACTAGAACCACCTCACGAAAGTGCTTGGTTAGCCGTTATAAGAGCTGAACTTTGAGGGATATGCCCAAAGATCAGTGTCATGGCAGTCGCTAAGCTCTCACTAAAACCACAATTCACAGTATTCTCAAAAAGCGATCGATGCAGGTTAACTCCAGTCAATTCGTAACGTTAAAGGCTAATGTTAAGCAGAGACAACATTGAAATTATTACTAGCGTTTCAAGCAGAGTTATCTCTTGGGATTATAAAAGCTGCTCTGCACAGCGGCCTTTAGTGTGTAGCACAATCAATAATACATTTGGTACAACGATTTAGATTTCTAACCTGAGGCAACAAGTGTTGCATTCCCGATGCATCAACATGTACCTCTCCTTACTGCCTAAAGAGAGCATAATTGATAGAAACACCAAAACAAGGATACAACAGGTGAGCAAGTGTGTCAGCTCACGGTTTACACTACTCGACTTAATGTTAAGCTAATATACTAAATGTCATATGATATAATCATTAAACCAAGTCGCGGTGCAGTCACTTCAAGAGAATTCTTCCTTATTACGGATACTTACCCAGATGAATTATTGGAGATGCTTTGGGGCATACCACAGCAAACGTGTATACATGGGCCATTACGTCGTGGCGTCTGGCCTTTTCTTCAGCGGCTGCCACCTCAAAGTCGATATGATCCCGATGTTGTCTCATTTCATCTAGCTGTTCATCTGAAATTAAAAGCAGCGGGGTAAAACCCATCAGGAAGGGACCGAAGCAAGTAAGATAATAAATTTACAGCTTGATAGAATCAGGAGGAACAAGCATGGTAAGCAAAAATAATCAAAAAGGAAGCTGGCTATTATTGGCTTCAAAACGTCTTACTGATGGAAAATCGGGCAACTTTGGTGATTCCTTGACGTTAGACTTTTCATACTGTTACTTCAATTTTCGTTTACGTACATATACAAATACATATGTACAAACACGTCTCTAGGGTGTAAATAATTTATGAAAATAGAGGAATTTCATAAGATTAATTATTATATTGCGGTATGCAAGGTTTCAGATAGCGCGTTTACAGGAGGACGAGACCAGTGCTCCTCCTGAGCGATCGGCCGGAAACCGATGACACACACGTCTCTCTAGTTCTTCCACCGGGACAGTATGAATGTTTACGAGCATAAACCAATGCATGTACACGCGCATGTGCTTCTGTGCACACGATGGTACGGATGGGTGTACTATTGTAAGTACTCACGTGCAGGTATGCCGTATGCATGCACTGGAGTATAACCTTACAACTGGTATGAGCGTATGGTACTATGAATGCATGAGTATGAAAAAGATGACTGAATCGAGTCACCAGTGTACCATGCATACGGGCTCGTTGCCTACCATCCCAATCAATGTACTTTTGCCACACGCCTGTATACCTAAGATCGAATGGGAATAAACGAATAACATCATTATTCGGCGGTAATCATGGCGCTCCACAGAACCTGAAACCTACAAATCACTGGCACCCTTCCTACAAAACCCCTATTAGGGATCAGTGTCAATTAATTGACAATATCGCCTTTTACTTGTAGAATTAAAGTGTGCCTCTATCCCTTCCATTCACATCTCGATTCCGTCCACACTGTTCTCTGTCTCCGGTTTACATCGGATTTTTCATGTACGTCTACCCGTTCTCTACTGGATCCTGCGAAAACTAGAAGTTCGGAAGCTGTCGAAGAGCATAGAAAAGATAGGAGCTCGATTGTGCAAAAGACTGGACTCTCATTGGCACCAGCCGCCAGTTCTGTGAACTGACCCAACCTGACCTGACCTGAGCGCTTCCCTATATTTCTGGCGGCCGTCAATTGTGGCCACCTCATGAGGTGCAAGGTCAGGTTAGGCCAGGTCGGGTCATAGGTCAAAGACCGTTACCAGTCCCTCTTGTTTGCATCATAAAAACACTGATTTTATGAGTCGTTCAATTTCAAAATGTGATTTTTTGCTAATTAATTCTTACCTGATATGTCAAACCCCAACTCTTGCTGAGCCTCAGCGAGCCAAATCCACAGCTGACGCCAAAGTATAAATTTTCGGCGCTCACTGAAGTTGTGCACCATTTCCTTGCTAGCATACCTGGTGGTTAATGGGTTTCTAACGATTCAATCTCGATGTTAGAAAAAGAAATCCTTACCGATACACATCATATCGCTCCATCTCGGCATCTGGAAGGCAATCCATAGTACCCGCTGTGACCTACAAATTTTTCGTTCAAGGTAGACAAACAAATATTCAGTTCAGTTCATTTTTCACAGGACGAATATGGCTCCTGCCAATCGAGCGTTCAGTTCGTTGTGTTTTCGGCGGATGGGAGTAGTTTCCAACATTGCGCACAGTTGATTAGGTGTTTGTGGTCCGCTCAATTTAGCCCCGTTGCCAGAACATTGACTCCTTGGGGTATGCTGAAAGAGAGGAAAGCAAGAAAAGATATCCCCTCACCCCATTGGTCAGAGATCTCAAGTACACATGCGTACGTATACACAGATTACAGGTGACGGGACAGTCAAGTTTAGAATAATTCCAACAGTCAAGCCCGAGTTTGGACCATTTCAAAATTCACCGGCTATTGTAGAACTTATTCCTTTTGTTCCCACTCTAAATACTAACTTCGGGGAACTTTGCTGACCAACATGCGTCCAGGGCCATCTTGAAGGCGTTAACATTGGCACAGTTGACCACTTCTGCGGGGGACTTGTTCCACATGGGTATGACCCTGTGTGCGAAGAAGTTGGCCCGTACTTCCAACCTGGCGTGGTTCTGCTGTAGTTTGTAGCCACGACCTCTCGTGTTTTGAGCACGAGATATCTGTTGTAGTTCATACTCAGACTAGTATTTCGTATACGTATCGGATTCCGCGCACTAGTAGTCCGACCCAGAACTAGGACTCGAAACGAAATCAGAAGTCAACTCAGAGGCGGAATGGCATTGTAATAGGCGGAAATTAGAAATATATAAGGATATCGTGTTCAATAAAACAAAGAGTTCATAATTCATGAGCAATCACCACAAAATTATAAACAAGTCATCTAGGTTGAGTTCCGATAGAGCTCTTACAATTTTAAATGTCTATCACATCTCCCCTCACTCTTCTACGCTCCAGCGAAAGGAGATCAAGATCTCTCAAACGCTGCTCATAGCTCTTCCCGTTTTGCCTAGTCACCATTCGGGTAGTTAGACGCTGCACTATTTCTTAACACGATACATCCCTCTCATAATACGGTGCCCATACCTCCACACAATATTCCATGTTTGGGCGAACAATCGACCTATACAGGGGACAAAACCCTCAGGCCGTCTGCATATTACTGTAGCACACAGCCTGAACAGCTCCCCTCTAGCCTGATTTGCAGCTTTGGAGAACTGGGTTGATGGTGTAAAATCCTAGGTCATAAAAACCCCTAGGTCCCTCGTCTGCGGGGCCTACTGCATGGAAGCTCCATGTGGTAATCAGAATAGAACTGAATTTAGGAATACGAGAACACGTATTGCACTGCTCATAACTGAATTGGCTCCAACCCAAACTGCGGACACCAATAAAATACACGAGAAATTGCTAGCAGCAAATGCTTATGTTTATTGATGGAATTAGATTGTTCTAAAGAAGTTAATAGTCCATATGATTGGTTGAATGGGCATCCTCCAATCACTTAACCGCTTGCACCAACGCATCATATGTACTAACTCCGATATCATGTTCGCTCGGTGCACCATTGGTCGAGCTTCCTGAACGGTGATAGGATGACATAAAACTGTACCTGGTCGCGCTTGGATTGCGGTCACGGAAGTCTGGATCACCACAGCCTATTTAACGAGTGCGTAGAATCAGCAATCGTCTAGATCCAAAGATAGGTCCCACTTGACCGACCATTGATGGACTACGTCTAGGTCCCTTTGAAGGTTTACCCCTGTCATTTTGACATCATCAACAAACTTGAAGCATGAAATATTAAATTTAAGTTCCTTTCAGTTCAGTTCTCATAGGACGAACTGTGGCTGTTGCCAATCGCGCGTCTATTTCCTTGTGTTGTCGGCGGTTTCCATGGCTTCCAACACTTCGAATCAATAATGCTTTCTGGAAGGCAGAATGTCAGTGTGCAGTATCAGATCCCTTACAACGTTTCGGAAAGTGAAGCCTAACGGCTAACTTTCAACATTCGACTTCGGAAACTACCACTCCCCAGCATTCATCTAGCCTTCTCTTGAAAGTTTCGACAATATAACAGTTAACCACTGCTTCAGGTAGTTTATTCCACCGTGGTGTAACTCTGCTTATGATAGATTTATTCTACAATGACTTCTTTGCAATCTAAGTTGATGCCTCCTCGTGCCCCTGATAGGAACAAACGAGAATACGTTTTTGAACTTTAGACCCGAAGGTCCCTTGAAAATCTTAAATGTCTTTATAAGGTCCGCCCGGACGCGTCTGTGGGCCAGGGAGAACGGGTCCATGCCCCTCAGTCGTTGGAGGTATGCCTTACCTTCGTGGCATGCTACCATTCTAGTTGTTAAGCGCCGTCATTTCTCAAGACAGCGTTCGTCCTGTTTAAAATAAGGCGCCCATGCGTGTACGCAATATTCTAAATGAGGATGCACTATAGTTTTGTACAAAGGTACGAAAACCTCCGGACTTTTGTAAATTACAACAGTGAACAACCTGAAAATTTCGGGCCGAGCTTTATTAGCCGCACGCTTACATTGGAAGGATGACCTGAAGTCCTTTGTGATTATTACCCCTAGATCCTTCGCCTCAGAAACACGCTGCAAATGCATCACACCTCTCGAGTCATCGTTGGCTTTTGTGGTCAAGAGAACGCACTATAGTATTCGGAATAGGAATCGAAATTGAATAGCGCAAACTCGGTATCGGACTGAAAACCCGCTGAATAGCGCAAAGCCAGATAGAAACAAGGCGAGCTGTAGATACAGTTAATTCTATTAAGAAAATCATGGAAATATATATTACAAGCAACAAACAATCATTGGTCGATTCTTGAATGTCCAATGATATGGTTTATCTGTTTGCCTTCTTGTACTCAGCCAATCCGGATGATGCCAATTGAGACCACGGGGTTGGTCGGTTATCCCGCTTGTTGATTGGTCACCTGGAAGCTGTACCGCAGTGCGTGTATACTCGTTACATGATCACTACAACTCTCCTGCCTCAACAGTGGTAGGGTTATCCTCTTGTTCATGGGGTTCCGATGCACCGACAGTTCATTCGTTTCTGAAATGTATCTAGTCGATGTGCCGTCGGTGGACAGATGCATGTCAAATCTGTTATCTCCACCATTGACTGACCCAAGTTTCTAGTGATGATTCCACGAACCGGGCGCAGATCGGTGCCCCTGAAGTATATCACATCAGTAGAATCCATACATCTTAAGGAAGACCTCAAGCAGAGTGACTTAAACAGCTTTGCCGGAATTTCCTTGGTAGTCGCATGTGTCGCGTTCCGGTATTGCAGTAGGAAGTTGTCTAGAAACGCCTCCAAGTCCGCAAATGATTTCGGATTCGCGGATGCCAGTGCACTCTTGACTGTTTTCACAAGATTCTCAGCTTCACCATTCGAACAGGGACGTCTTGGGGCTGTACGTAAATGTCGNTCCAAAGCTGTCGATCCAAGCTTTCATCTCCGTAGCACTGAATTGAGATCCATTGTCTGTGACGAGCGGTATACCTTCCCGACTGAGGCACTTCCGAAGATGTAGTTGGCATACTTGTCAGAAATATTTCCGGCCACTTTCAGTAGGAATCAATGAGAACTAAGGCATAGTATCTATTCAGAAATGGGCTGCAGAAGTCCGCATGTACCCTTTCCTTGGTGTGGTGATTGAGGAAGTAGTAGTAGTGAAATTACGCACAGAATTCATGACGCGAACTACGCAATAGGAATCACGGAACACGAATTAGAACTCCCGTGGCACTAGACCGCAATGGCTCGAATTCGCAATAGCAGGATTGAGACGCGAGAAAACAAGCCACAAGATGGACGAATAACAAAGTTGTTTATTGAAGGAAATGAAAGTGAATATATATGTGTGCATAAAAGAAGATCCTTAGTTACCTTAGTTTCCTCCAATCATATTGCTCTTCTCTGCATTGTATGTGATTGGCTGGAACGGTCCACCAATGACGTTTATCCGGAGGCTGTGCACGTGCTACTGGCGCGCTCAAGGTGGATTGACTACCAATGTCCGGAAACTGTACCGCGCTGCTCCAGGGCAGATCGTAGATCCGAATCACCACACATGGTGCATAACTTTCTGGCCATGGAGTCCAGTTTTTCGGTTTTGCCTTTACTTTGTGCAGACACGTCTCGCAAATCTTCTCAGTTGTGCAAATGTCTGCATCCAAGTGAGGCCACCAACACATTTGTCGAGTCAGAGATTTCATCTTCTCCACTCCCAAATGGCCTTTGTGGAGGTCCTCTAAGACCGCTTTTCGAAGCGGTGGAGGTATGATCAGTCGATCACTGGTGTTACGGCGGCTGAAACACCGTAAAGGATGATGAAAACAACATTTTGACGATAAAT